TGCACACCTGTGACTCGTCGTGTCCACTCGTATTCTCCACGTTCTTCCTAGGATTTATTCGGCTCGCTGAGTTGAATCCCAACTCGATGAGTTTAGACTGGGTCCAGGCTACAAGTTCACACTCGCTATGAATCATCGAGTCATCCCATGGACTCGGCGAGTTGGCTCCATCGGATTTCTCATTCAACCACCTGAGGTCAGATCCGTGACTCTAGCTTATAGATCTAACCTCCTAGCATCCAAAAGTCACATAAAGGTCCAACCTTTATGCTCATGCATCACATATCTAGGTCTATTTGACAAAATGACCCTTTTAATGATGTTTTAGACTCAATACTCTTATGTGAATGCATAAATCTGGGATCATGGGACTCTCTGGACCTCTCAAGGTCCAGATCTGGTGTCTAAGCCTCAAAGGGACTTCACATACTTCATAATTCAACTTAAAAGAGGGTGAAGAAACCCTAAATTCAAGAGATGTACTAACAATACGCAAATAGGTATAGATTCATACCTTAAACAACAGCCTTGAATGGAATAGCAGCGGATCTGAGCCCCTCAAGTCGATCTTGCTTGAAAAACCTCCTTCTTCCTTGCAAGAATGCACCAAGATGATGAAATTAGCTCCCTCCATCTCTCTATGCTCTCTGGATCAAATAGTGTCTCTCAAGGGAAAGTGTTGCCGCAACTTAAGGCCATAAGAGCCTTTAAATAGGTCACAAACAAGGACAATTAGGGTTTTCCTCTGCAGCACTGACTCGGCGAGTCAGATACCGACTCGTCGAGTCCATCCAATTAACACGTCACCAACTCGCGACCCTACTCGACGAGTTGAGGCACCAACTCGCCGAGTCACCCAAGCAAACTCATACTTGCATATAGAAATGTTATACCTCGAAAATCAGGATATTACAAGATATTTGGTCACTAGGGTTTTTTTTCCAGCAACATTTACCCCTTCAACTTGTTAAACCGTATAATATTCGTCCTTATGACCGGCTACATCATGTTAGCCGCTATAAATGACTTAGGTAATATATTTTTTACTTTGTACACATTTAGACGTTAATGTTTTTGTACACAATTAGTCCTTAATATATTATTTTTGTTACAAAATAAGTTATTTTTGTTTTTTTACTCATTCTGTATTTCAGAATGATTTCTATAGTTTTTTCTCAGAACATCTTAAGTGAAACAATCATTAATGAGTTGTTTGGGGCTTTTGATGCTTATGTCCATCACGATATCGACTACTTGGTTGCTTAGGTCATGTATTCTATTTCATATTTTTTATGTTCATGATTTCATATTTTTGTCTACTACAACTTTCATTTAGATTACTTCTATTAAAAAGTAATATATTTATACTTCTTCATACGTTCTCCAATTTTAACGATCTTTATATTCATGATTTCATATTTTTGTCTACTACAACTTTCGTTTAGATTACTTCTATTAAAAAGTAATATATTTTTACTTACGATCTTTATATCCATGCGTTTTTTTTATGAATGCATGTATGGATATTTTTTTTATAAAATTGTAAATAAATTATATATTACATTTTAATGGGAGTAATCTAAACGAAAGTTGTAATAAACTCAAAAAGTGAACACTTTGATATAAATATCGTTAAAATCTGATATCGTATGAAGAAGTTATGACGTTCAAAACACAAGACCTAGTTCAAACCACAAGATCTACGCAACCAAGTAGTCAAGATCACGATGGACGTAAGCATTTGTAAGATGTCGTGAGAAAAACTTAAAGAAATCATTTGTAAGTGTTGAATGAGTACGGAAATGAAAATGACTTATTTTGAAACAAAAAAATATTAAGAACTAAATATGTAAAACAAATATTAAGGACAAAATGCGTATCAAATGAAATTTATATTACCCGATTAAGTCATTTTTTTCGACAAACCTAGAGTAACCGATCATAAAGACTGAATGCGTACAGTGTAACAAGTTGAAAAGGTAAATATAGATTTAAAAAAAAAAGACAAAAACCTCAATGATCAAATGTGTATAAATCAAAAAATATATTACTATTTTAAGTTATTATCTCATCAACAAATATCCTATGCGTATCTTTTATGTTTCCATACTTTGAAAATCTTCATACTAATAAACGAGTAATTCTTTTGACATGTATCATCAAGTTAGGCATTGTAAGTAATATCATGCCACTTTCAATCTATTGATTCTCCATTTCAAATTTTAAATTTTAAATTTCTCATTTAATTACATTAAATTAATAACATTAGAATAAAAAATAAAATAAAATTTATACAAACTATAAGATGATATAATTTTACTAATTTATTCGAATCAACGATTATAATTTTATATATAAGTAAAAAAATCTCTTAATTAATAAGTTATTTAAAATAATTAATTAATAATTTTGATTTTACTTAAAAAAATTTATTAATTTTGAAACTGTGGTTCCATGGGTTATAAACTAATACTCTGATAATTATTCTAGTAATACTATATAAAGCATCTTTTATATTTAATAATACAAACAACTAGACAAAGTAATTCACTGATCATGTATTTTATTCCTAAAATCAATCTTTCGCTCCCTTCCTGCAAATGTTCGTTCCAATCATTGTTGAATATATCCCGCTCTCATTAATTATTTTAATTTATAACTTTCAAAATTATTCTAATGGTTTATACAACTAAGCAATCAATTGCTTGTGTAAAAAAGTTAAATTCCTACATTAACAATGTATTATCGATCATTTTTATTTCACTTATTTTTTAGAACGTCAAAAATACATCATCTAATCTTATTTTTGAATCCATATATTTTCTATATCACAAGACTTGAATCCTCTACTACTTGGGAATAATCATCTTTCCAATACACATTGATACCACTAGGCTAAAAGGTCCACCTGGTTTTTATTTTATTTAATGTGCTTTTTAATGAGAGTTTGACTAAGGAGTTTGATATGCAAAACGCATTGACACAAGATGATCATCTGTCTTATTCTCTTTATCATAGTGATGGAAGCATTCATGTGTTTATGGATGATGTAGTTTCTCATCGGTTGTTTCTACGTTTAATTAAACTTTGTTGTACCAATGGGAATGGGGTTTTTTTTCCTAATCCAACGTCGTTACGAACTCAACTTATTGAAGTGACAATAAATTTGTTATTGAGTTCATTAGGGTTTCGTTCTCACCTTTACAGTTTGGAGCTGGGGATGTTTGGGGAGCTATTGCTGGCTTCAATAATCATCTTCATGATAGCTAAATCCATCTCGAGCTAACTATGCGAAGGATTGTTGGGAATGGGGTGACAACAAAGTCTTCAGTTGATATCTATTGCATGTCGGAGGAATTTTGATCTCGCTTTCTGATCGAGATCGTTGTCTCAATCAAAAATAATCTAAAGAACCACTAGATAGATAGGGTAAGTAATGGTCGAATCCATAAGGAGTTTGTGGTTAAACTTTATGTTAGAATAGTCAAAAAAAAAGAAGAAGGATCACTTGTAATTAATATAAAACTAATTTAAACCGAAACCAAAAAGAAAATACTTAAAACTTTATAGCTTGATATGAAACTCTCAACGAAAAGTAAGGCACTTCCAGTTCAGTTTTAGGATAATTCAGACTCATACACTTGCTTCCTTCAAATCCTAGTTCAAATTACTTAAATGTGATTGGTATTTATTATCTAGTAACATATAATTTTCGGTACACACTACGTTCATTCAATTAGTTGTCTTACTCCCTAGGTCTAACTGGATTAGGAACACTTATTGAATTTGCAATAAAGTGTCTTGAAGTTACCTATTATAATATTAAGCATTCAATATCATAAGTTGGAATAATAGCTATATATTGAACCAATTGTCTTTGTTTCTAAACTACTTGAAATTGGTGAATTAACAATGTACTATTTTAGTTGTGAAATCAAACAAATTCATACAACCTAATTTCAATCATTATCACCATAATATCATCATATGAAACATAAAATAACAATTAAAATTAAGTAGAACCAAGTAATATCAAGTGTGTTCATCCACAAGTCCTAAAGATCCTCAAAAGTAACCTAATGATTTAGCCTTCCATCAAGTTCATGAAAACAATGACTTGAACTAAAAAATAAATTGCATAATATAATCCATAGACAAACTTGAAATCATTAAATAAATGTGGACTAATGATTAACAAATTATGAAACAAAACAAACTTGCGTGAAGAAGTATCGTGTCAGCAATTCAGCGATGTGGGATGTTGGAAGTCCATGGAAATGTCATTAACGTGATGTATGACACAAGGGCATCCTTCGTGCTACTTTGCATGCTCTCTGTCATCCTTGATTTGCATTAGAAATATTTCTAAATGGGTACGCATCCTTAGGGACGTCTATGATGTCTAGGAGGCATCCTTTGCAAGTTTAAGCATTCTTTGTAACTCCCAGTTCTAATACGAGAGGTCCAAATAACATTCTGACCACCTTGGTAACATCTTGGATGTCATGTATCAGGACGACGGGGTTTCTTTATTTTCCTGCTCAACAATCTGCTATGATGTTGACCAATTTGACTAGGGAATCCTTAGTGTCATCATTGGCTCATAATATGTGTCCTTCGTCTTTCGGACACATTTTGGTAATGAAAAGAACAGAAACACAAAACATGAAAGTTGTGAGAAATTTGGTCTAGTTTCCCTAACCTCTTTATTCATGTAAATTTGAGCTCTATATCTTGAGATATGATCAAAACATTGAGCATCTCTGAACCTTCCCAACAACATACTTCTAACTTCCTTTTTCTCATTTTCCTTGCAGGTTGCGCCCACTTTTATATTATATAATTTCCTACCCATGATGTTCAACATTCCATGAAAGTAGTGTCACTCTTGGGAAATTGTAACGTCCAAAAAATACACAGTAAAAAATTTTCATTTTAAACAACGAGCCATATAACCAATTGTTCCAAAACCAAATAATGTAAAAGTGTATTTTTCAACATCAGAGTAAAATGTTAATAATCAGTGCGAAAATCTGCATTGGAGGAAGATTTGGCTTCTTGAACTTTGATAAAATGGCAAGATTGCCCACATAACCCATCTTGTAAAACATCTCGATATTAGCAAATGAAGCGATGGAATCCAGATCAATCAGATCCCTGGCTTGAGAAATCCCTAGCAATCGACTAAATTGGGACATGGAAATTGTGGTTTTGTGAGAGTCAATTTCAAAACTAATCATAGACTCACCTTCCTGATAACTTGCAATGGAGAATGCCTTGGATAGATGAATCAAGGGGCATTCTCTGCCATGGTAAGGGTCGGATCCAAAGGAGTGTGACGAAGACACTTAACAATCGGTTGGAGAGAGACATAGCATTTGGCTGAATCAAGGTCCAAGATGAGATTATATTGGCTTTGATGTTTAATAGCCCTAGTGATGCGGTTTGGTGACCCACGTATGGAGTTTCAAAAGCAGTGGCCATTGCTGCAGATGGAGAAGATAAACAGTGTTTGAGAGAAAAAGGGGTTTGCTTGAGAGATTTTGAATGTAATGAGGAAGGCAATCGTCAGTTATCCTTACATATGGTATGGATGGAGAGAGAAAGCCAGCTGCAAGACTGTTCATTTTCTTGAAAAGTCGCCTAAAAAGGCGTGACTAACATGCGTGATGTTAGGCGGCGTAACTCACAAAGTGTGACGTTAGGAAATTTGAAAAGCACACCCCCAATGTTTTCGAAATCATATCCCTTAAATGTCGTCGTTTCAGTTTTGCATGTTCGGAACTCAACATCATTCACCATAACCTGTTCTCGAAATTGAAAGTAATCATTCGGAGGTTAGAACCAAACTTTTGGAAAATCACGAGGATTTTCATGCAAGAGTGTGACAAAGATAATAAAATATAACAAAATATATCTTGGATTCTATGGTGTCAATATAAAATAATCACAAAAGTAGATGGATCCCAGGCAACGATCTCTTCCTTCGGAGTCAAGAGAGACTCAGAAGTGCTTGCATGCTTTCCCGTTGAATTACAATCATCTACTTTTTTAGAAATAATGAAAGGCTTCTTTTCATTAAGCTTTAATGGGTGGCATTGCTTCAACCAAAGTATGAAACTCAAGTATGCTTTGGAGTTATTTAAGTGGCTAGACAAGTTGGAAATCTCAAGAAAAAATTAAAAACTAGATCTATTGGGAAGAAATGTCTTAGGTCGAGAGCATTCCATTAAGATGCCACGAAAATATAAATGATGAGATTTCAAGGTACAAACCATGAGGATTGATTATTGTCAATTCCATAGTGAAAATCTTGAACTTATTAATTGTTCATCGTCAATACATAAATAGGATTCGGATTTTGGGTTTCACTTAAATCGTGGTGATAACAATTTGAAGATCATAAACACAAATTTTGTGTAAGCATAAACCTCTGTGCTAATTTATGAGAGTCTCAGGGGTTAAGAATGTGAAAGTGAAGGTAATGGAGAAAAGATAAGGTGGTTCCGAAGAAAAAAAAATGTACATCTGCTATATTGTGAATGACTAACCAGTAAACTCTTAACTCAATATGAGAAGAGTAAGGTAGCTCAATGACTTATGTGAATATTAGCCTGATTGAGAAGAAACATTCAGAGTGAAAAATTCATAAAGGCTTCAACATAGAGTCTCAGAGGCTTTGGTCAACAAGCAGCAGCACGCTTCTAGCAACACTTAGCTAGCACATAGAATCGGAGTTATATACCTTCCCCATCAATGCAAATTGTGATGACAAAATAGTACCTAAGATAAAACGAACTTTAAAAATAAATCACACATACACAAAAAAAATATTTTCGGAATTTTTGATATTCTGAAAAGATAAAACATAAACAAGAAAGAAAATATTTTTGTATTTTGGATTTTCTTGAAAAAAGAAATTAAAACAGAAAAGGAAAATATTTTTGTATTTTGAAATTTTTTTTGAAAAAAGAAATAAAAACAGAAAGTAAAATAACGAAAATACATAATATACAAAGGATACATGATGTTTCGAGTCCCAGATGAATAGTAGACTCCGAGCCATTGCAAGCGCTCGAACCCGATTGGAGTGTGAACAGTGACTTGCGAATACGTTTGAGGGTTTGGACCGGTTCGAAACTTAAGAGATGCATTCCGATTACGAATGTCATTTTGGAACATATTCAGCTTCTATCATTCCTAAGCCTTGTAGAATTCGATTGAAGGTTGTTTCAGGTAAGGCTTTTGTGAAGATATCAGCAAGTTGATCAGAGGTTCTTACGAAATGCATTTCTATGTTCCCATATTCTACGTGATCCATTATAAAATGATACCTCAATGCAATATATTTCATCTTTGAGTGTTGCATTGGGTTGAGACAAATCCAAATCGCACTTTCTAAATCACAATAGAGTGGAATCCTCTTCATGTTGATGTCATAGTCTCGAAATTGGCTTTGGATCCAGACGACTTATGAAGTATATGATGCAATTGCAATGTATTCAGCTTCTACAGTAGATATGGATACACAACTCTGTTTCTGTGATTGCCAACTTACTAGTTTGCCATCTAGAAACTGACATCCCCCAGAGGCGCTTTTACGATCGAGACTGCATCCATAGAAATCAGCATCCGAAAACGCTTGCACAAAGAATCCTGAGTTTGAAGCATACCATATTCCAACAGAAGATGATCTTTTGAGATATCTCAGAATATTCTTCACATCAGCATGCGTGGTTCAGGGGGATTCGCCTGAAACCTAGCACAATAACAAACAGCAAACAGCAAACATTATGTCAGGTCGACTAGATGTTATATACATTAAAGATCCAATCATTTACCGATAGAGAGTACTATTCGATGCAGGTTTGTCCAAGGACGGTGTTAGCCTCGTTCCGAATTCCATCGATACCTTGACTTGCGAATCTCCTACCATTTCAAATTCCGCAATTATTGAATTGGTGTAGGCTTCCTAGTTGATGAAAATCCCCTCCTAACTCTGTCTAATATTTAAACCAAGGAAAAAGTTAATAGGACCCACTAAGCTCCTCTCAAATTTAGTCTCCAAAAACTTTTGAAATTTTGCAGTAAATCTAGGATTGGTTGATCCGAAAATGATATCATCAATATATATTTGGATGATCATCAGATCGTCGCCATCTTTCTTACAAAAGAAGGTTGGGTCGACCGAGCCTTGTTTAAACTTTGATTGTTTTAAAAATCGTGTTAGGGTTTCATACCATGCTCGAGGAGCTAGTTTTAAACTGTACACTGCCTTATCCAAGATGTAGCAACGGCTTGGATATTCCTGTTCACGAAACCTGGAGGTTGTTCAACGTAGATCATTTCCTCTAACTCACCATTCAGAAAAGCACATTTAACATCCATCTGATAGACTTCAAAATGCTTGCAAGCTTCGTAGGTGAGGAAAATGCAAACAGATTCAAGCCTAGCAACTGGTGCGAATGTCTCTTCATAGTCTATGCCTTCTTTTTGGCGGTATCCGTTTACAACCAACCGAGCTTTGTTCCGGATAACATTCCCTTCCTTGTCAATCTTTTTCCGAAACACCTGTTTTCAACCGAACATAGAAGCATCCTTCGGATTTGGAATCAGTCTCCATACTTTCTTGCATTCAAACTCATTAAGCTCTTCCTACATAGCCTACACCCAATCAGAGTGATCAATAGCAACCTTTACGTTCTTGGGCTTAATTTTGGAGATAAACGAAATGAACATGCAAAATTCCATTTTTGAAAATAATGCAAGTTGATTCGCTTTTTGTTGAGCTATCGTAAAAACTCCTGAACATTGTGCTCCGATGACTTGAGTTTTGGGATGATCTTTGGTCCATTTATTCAATGGTGGATAGTTTAGATCATAATCTTCTGAATGAACATTGTCGGAGTTGTTATTTTCATTTTCTTTCTCCCCCTAGGAGTTTGCATGTGACTCAACATTTGGAATTGGATTCTGCACCTAGCTTGGAATATCATAATTGAATTTAGGGTTTGAATTCTCCCCCTCAACAAATGTATCGAATGTGTAGGTTAAATTGGAACCCTCCCCCTAGAATTAAGTAGTAGGTTGTGTTTGGGGTGGAACTTCAGAAGTCTTCGGAATATCAGTGTACACTTCTGGATCCTTCAGATTTCGTTAGCTGTTGATTCAGAGGTGATGGCTTTCTCAGGCTCATCAAACAAATTCATGAATTCCTCGTACAAGTTCATCAGAAGAATAGTTTTAAAAGGTATGGATGGCAAAATCTCTTCCGATGGACTATTAGACTTTTGATACTTCTTTTGATAGTTGTCATCAAAAATGACATAGTAGGTTTCTTCAATTCTTTTACACTTCTTGTTTAGAACCCTGTATGCCTTCAAGGTAAGAGAATACCAAAAGAAGATTCCTTCATCTTCATTCACGTCAAATTTGTTCCTTTGATCTTTGGAGTTAAAAATGAAACACCTGGAACCAAAAACATGAAAGAACTTGACATTAGGTTTTCGTTTATTAAGAATCTTGTAAGAGGTAATAAAGAATCTTTTGTTAATCAATGAGCGATTCTGAGTAAACAAGGCGGTTCCAATCACATCAACCCTGGAATAGAGTGGTAAGTTCGCAAATGAAAGCATGGTCCTCACAGCTTCACAAAGAGATCAATTTCATTTTTCAACGAATCCGTTCTGCTATGGAGTGTAAGGAGTAGGGAAGTTGTGAGCAACTCCCTTTTTAGTCAAGAATTCTTCAAACACTTGGTTTTTTAATTCAAAATTGTTATCATTCCGAACGTTCTGAACTGGCTTTCGCAATTAGAATTCAATTATCTTAATAAAATCCTTTATCCTTGAGGAAGCATCTTATTTCTATTTAAGAAAGTAAACCCAGGTAAATCGAGAAAAATCATCTACAATAACTAAAATATACTTGTTACCACCAACAGTCCCAATGGCAGATGTGCCACAAAGATCGATATGTAAGAGTTGAAGAGCTTCGATAATTTTGGTATTGATAATTGTGGAATGACTCTTCCAACTTTGCTTTCCAAGTTCACAAGCTGCACACAGATGTTCTTGGTCATACTTCAGAAGAGGGAGTCCTCGCACATGGTTGCCAAGTACGAGTTTGTTGATGTCCTTGAAATTTAAATGTGAGATCCTTCGGTGCCAAAGCTAATTATCAACCGAAGATGCTTTCGAAAGAAGGAAAATGGTTGGCTTCCCGACTATTGGTTTAAAATGCAAAGGAAACATCTATCCCTTTCTTTTGGATTTTAATAGCATCGCCTTCTTTTTCTTCTCAATTATTTCAGATCCTTCATTGTCAAAAAAAAAAAAAAAAAAACCCTTCAGCACTGTACCTACAGCCAATTAAGAAATGCTTGTTAGGTTGTGTTGCAGGCCTACTACATAGGCTACCATCCAAATAGTGAATTCGCCATTCATGATCATGCCATATCATTTGATCTCTCCTGTGGTGATATT